TTATAAATAGGTCTTAGCAAGACAAAGAAAATTATCATTTATTCAATGGTAAAAGTTAAAAGTTACATGTAAAGTTGTGAAGGTAATCAATTGGTAAGGTAGAGGATAGTATTAAGGTTATACTGGTTTATCTACGCCTTGCCCAAGTAATTATGCGTTAAGTTGACGGCTTCGTTAATTGCATTCTTATGTGGCATTGGTTAACTTGATTATAATTTTGGATAGATTGGCGGCTATGTTAATTGTGTTCTTGTGTGACGTTTGTTAATTTGCCGTTAATTTGATTAATTAGGCCGTCCAAGTGAGCATAATGATTTGCGGCCGTAGTACGGGCATTGTGTCATTTTTTGAACTGGCTACTTTTGTGAGGACTAATCTCTTGTAGAAGTGTTTGGAGATTGAATGGTGACGAGTACTCCATAATCGCAAATACTTGTTTTTCATGGAATTGTACAGACATGTACATTCAAAAACATCTAATCTTGTGCAACTAAAAAAGTTGACATATCTCATTTGATCCATTCTTTAGCGCCGCTATTTGATCAAATTGCAATCTTGCAATTTGAGTGTTGAGCCCGAAGAGCTAATTAATACACTTTTTCAAGCCATATTTCAGCCAGAAAGCAATAATAGCATGCCCAATGAGGTAGATAACTTTCTATCAACTGGCATTGTCTAGTGTAAAGATTTTATCAATATCTTGTCTTGGTGGTCAGTCCGCATGAAAATCATGCCTTCCCACTATCAGATGTCCATAAATTATCTTAGTACCCCGGTAACGATAACACTATCACAGCGTGTCAACAACATTCTGGTCGCGAATTTAGCAGATCTCGGTAATTCTTGTCGTCATCAGTGTTCATCATGATCATGTGATTACGCTCATTAATAGATGCAAATATACTCAATGTGTGAACCGAGCAACATCGGTTGCGGCAATTGGGTTCATTGATAAAGAAGAATCCATTTATGAGATTGAAAATATTGTCAACTAGTTGGAGTTTGAACAAGACGATTAATACGATCAAGTCTTTGATGACCGCGTTGTGCAAATGCTCAACAACCAATTCAAATAAAATGGTATTTGAGGCCAACTTGAACTGAAAGTTTTGTAAATAAACATTTGTATTTTTATTGCTGTAATTATCGAGTTAAAAGGTAAATTTTGAGGTAAAGTGTACTTTTATTTTTATATAATAATTACCCTCTTAACGGGTAAAATAAAAAGAATTTGTATTTTTTATTCTTATTAGATAATTACCCGGTTAAAGGGTATAGTAAAGGTAAAGTTATATGTAAAGCATGCTCAATGTGATGGGGGTAGGGATCAAGTAAAGGTAAAGAATATTTAATTACTCGTTAAACATTTATGTTATCTTGCGGAGGCATTTTTACAAGCAATGATTTTAAGATTGATATATATTTTAAACATTAAAAAATAGTATTAGAAAATGTGCAAAATATACAATATAGTAATTTAAAATAGATATGATATAGAAGTTTAGTCGTCTCAAAATCATTGAATGTAAATTTGTGTTTTAGATAATTTTTCAATCACTCTTCAAAACTTCAACCATGGAAATTTGGTCAAAAGTAGCCAAACTATCATGAAAAAAATCATCATTAGTCTTAACAAACAAAGGTCATATAGTTTGATGGTAAGAAATTTCTGATGGATAGTGCATATCTAGTACGGATGTAGCAAATTATGTAGAGGTAGAAGATTCAATATGATATTTAAACATGTGAGAGATGTGATTACAAAAATAATTTGAAAATGTGTCCGCAAAGCATAAAATATATATATGTAGTTTGCTTCAGTCATGATTTAAAATCAATTATGAATTGTTTAATATTTAATCATTATTCAAAAGTTTATATTATTAGCATAAAGTATATCATGATAATGTGATTGATAAATAATCTATTTTTTATTAATTTTTGTGTCAATTTATGAAAATTGAAACCTATGTGGGCTATATAATTCTAATGAATTTTTTATTTTTGTTAAAAAATTATAATCAATTTCACATACAAGTTATAGTCACTTTAAGAAAACATTCAGGTTGAAATTTATTCTTTGATAGAGAAAGAATGTGTAGTTTTCAGTTTGTTTGAATCTATTTTTTCAAGATTAAAGAAACAACATTTAGTATAATACTTGCAATTTGCACTTGCCAAGAATCAACTAGAATCTTTTCCTACGGTATGATAACTTGATATTAGTAAGTGAAGTTGGTCAAATCATCACTACATAAGAAAACTCACGAAATCTCTCAATGACATTGTAAAGTTTTCTGTAGGTAAATATTTTGTGTTTCTGTGAACGTAATTTGCAATATTGAATTACAAATGTTCAAATTCAACATATGTGGGGTTTTTTTTATCGAATGATTGTTTTCAATTCAAATTGAAATTTTTTTGTGACAATTAATATTAGATTCATGAATTAAACTTTTCAGAAGATTATGATGGTGAAACTAAATGTTATTGTATAGCAACAAAAGCATTATCAAAATTCTTTGTGGAGTGTTGATTCAAATATGAGTCAAGATTTGAAACGATTGATGTATATATGCAATTTTGACAAGCACAATTATAAGCTTGAATTTTGGCTTGACTACTCCTTGTTGAAATGAAGTATGCTTGTTATTGAAGCTTAAATGTTTTTTAATGTGTTATTGTCAACTAACATATTTACTTCTTACCTATCAAACACACGAATTGTTGATATAACAATTATGAATAATTATATATGAGTGACATCTATTTTTATCTCGAGTAATTTATATTTTAGTTTTAATGTACTAAATATTTTTATATAAAATCATAATCAAAACATGTTGGTATACAAATATATACATGTCATACATATGATTTTGGTGCAAAACTTGCAAAGTAAATCAATGTCTAATAAAACTTTCAAAAGGTTTAAGAGACATTGAATGAATTTAAAATACATTTTGATTAGCTCAATGTTCATTATGGAAACTACGTGTTTTTGATAAAGTCAAATTTGATATCGATGTGTTTCAGTCTGATGCACATCACTTGATTTGTAGCAATATAAAATGCATATACATCAAGTATCACTTAAAAAAACAGATTCTAAAAAAATTTGAACTAATTTAAATTGATGATAAATTCAACCCAATTAATACGTTGATTTTTGTAAAAAATTTACAAAAATGATGATTCATTAAATATACTTATATATGTTTTGGCTAAGGCTTGGATCTAATTAGATATAGTTTTAATACAAACATTTGTAAAATATTTGTCTAAATTTTTGGCAAATGAATTATTTAGATTACAAAAATTATGATTTTAGCAACATGAATTAAAGTAAAAATTGATGTAAATAGAATTCCATATTTGAATCAAAATTTTAGAAGTTAATTGAGTATATATAGTAATTCATGTAATATTTTGATGAAGCAAATCAAACCAGTATTATATGAAAGAGCCACGTGATACTCTTATGTTTTTTTCAGTAAAGACTTTGTGTTTATATGAAAGTAATGTGTAGTGACAAATCACATGTATTAAACATGGACTCCTGCGAAATTTTTGTGTGTTGATTGTTAGTGTTCAATGCGTTTTGATTATTTTATTCAATTATATATATATATATATTTATATAAATAATAATAGCAGGTGGTTAAATTGTTTCCATATCTGAAGCTTATGCTGTATTAAGACTCAAATATGTTATTTTATTTGAAATTATTTTAGGTTTTAATCATGGTTACGAAGAATGCCTAACAATCTTAAATACCTTACATAATTGTACAAGACATTATGGCGCATGCAGTCGTTTAGTTTGTTGTTAATTTTTGTAGTGACAAATTAATTGTAATTACAATTATATTTTTAGTTTCTTTGATTATTGGTACAAATTTTCTCAACTAAAATTTTCATAATAATAAAATTTATTCTCTTAATAATATAAAATTCGGAATTTTTTTTCCCAAAAAATTAAAAATGAGAACCCCTCTGGGTTATTTTGTTGAATCACTAAATTTCATTCAGAGACTCACAACAAACATAACTCTTCAGAAGAATTTTTTTTGGGGAAATTATAATTATTTTAGAAACCATGCATAAGGTGCTTTATGAGCTCAATGCATAATTCTGAGATTTTTATTTCAATTTTTTTTTCACTCTATGAAAATGAGTTTTACAAATCACTTCAAAAAACCTGAAATAATTTTCATGCAGATGTATTAAAAAAAGGACTTTGTTATATATAACAAAGTCCTTGGAAGTCAGTGGAATTTTTTTTAATTACTATTCTTATAATTACAAAATTAAGCATGGTAAAATTCATAAGAGAAAAAATCTGTAAATTTTCAAATCAAAAATTTGTGAATACAAAATTGTCACTTTGTAGCTTCTATTTAATGAATATCATAGTTGTATTCAGTTATATTGTCGTTAATGTTTGTAGTAGAATATGTTTCTTGTGAATGTTTTTCGGCCACCTGATTGAAAAACGGAGTCACTCGGGCATACGCACCTAATTGTCAACAGTTCATTGCAATTTGTCTTCCCCATGACTTTCTACGCAGATTCCTTACTTTCCTTATTCATTTTCTATTATTATTCTTGAACTAGCTTCTTTTCAGCTATAATGTTTAGGAGAGGTTATGTGAATTTATGTGTCTTGTTTAGATTTGCTGTCTTCGTTTGATATTACGTTAAGAGTAAAGCTATAACTGAACTCAAAATTGAACTCTAACGCACAAATGAGTAGATTTAATTTTTATATACGGGAATTCAATTTCGGGAAATCCAGATGAAGTTGCAAGTTTTGGAAATTTCGATTGAAGTATATATATATCACCAATCAGAACTAATAGAATAAAGAGGAAACCACAAAATGAAGTCTAGAAATCTTCATAAGACCCAAATCAATCATCAAATGAATGAAGTTCATATGCAGTTACTTTCAAGTCAAGGGTACAATTTTTATACCATTATTGTGTTCAAAGATTTAGGCAGTTAACACTTACACAGAGCAGATCGTGTAAGTATGTGAATAATATACCTTTTTGGAGCAGTAAGAATAAGACATGACAGAAAAAGCGAAGAGGGCCGAGGAGTGCACTTTCCGTTTGAATAGCAGAAAACTGGCAGACAGGGTGGGACCAGTACACCGGTTAGGTCCGGCAACCAGTCTCGACTCTCGGCGTCCGACGGGAGAAGCTGGGCCAGTCTGTAGAACTCACGTCCCGCCGCCATCCTCGTAGTCGCTGCACGTGTCTGACGACTATCCCTCCCCCTTCGCAAGCTTTCGACATCGATCGTCAAGCTCGTCGTTCGCTCGTCGCTGGATTGCTGAATGCCTTCGTGGCCGTCGCAACCACAACGGCCCCCTACTGGTCCACGTACCGGACAAACTCTTCGGAGTCCAGGGGCTCCGGGCTCAGAGTCCCGGCAGCGGAGTGGGGAACCCGGTCTTCACTCGACTCCACTCGACTCCGATTAAACGCATTCGGTCTTGACTGCTCGGCAGCGCGCAGGCAACTGCAGTTACTAAGGGATAGTCCAGTCTGGTCCCCCCACTGGCAATCATCATTGTCTCGTCACTCTCGAGCACTCATCTCCCTTCTTTCCTTCCTCGCAGTCCCTTCACTACACTCCCGCTTCTGTCATCAATCCTTCACTTGCTCGCTTCTTCTCCCCCCTTCAATCTCTTCTCTGTCGTATCACGCTTCGTCAGTGCTGTTACTGTACCTCTCGTGTGAAACTGGACTCGAGTACCTCACAAGCTCACCGTACCGATCACTCATTACGTCTTGATTACCAGACGAACTCAGGGCGGACGCCTCCTGCGCTACCCCTCGCTCGGAGCTTCTTCTTCTTCTTCTTCTCCTCGTCGTCCTGCTCTCGGGATCTCTGCCACCGCAGTGGGCCTCCTTTCACAGGCCAGGCTACATACATTGGGATCCGCCAACGTTGCGGCCACTTCTCTTCCTCCTCCTCCTCCTCCAATTCGAACTCCTGCGCGCTTTGAAGTCAATCAAGTCCGGTATCCTAAGTCGGCTTCGTTCCCCCCCCCCCCCCCCCACATTTCATCATTGCCGCGAGCCGGAGCCTTTTCTTGAACGTAACCTCACCGGCGCCAAGTACCCCCCACTCACTGCGTGCCCCCATTCGTTCGCTCGTTCGTGAGCTGCGCTTCTTCGACGACGAGCCGGAGCTCAGCGAATTCGTAGCAGCAGCAGACGACGACGACGGCGACTGCGGCCAAGACCGACCCGGACTCGGGCTGTTATGGTGTTGTCGAGTCTCAGTGAGCACGGGGACGCGGACTCTGCAGCGGCAGGAGCGGGGGCGGACGAGGATCAGCGGGCGCATCTCCGAGGGCGAGAGGGGAGGAAAAGCGAGGCGTTACGCAGCGTCTGAGCGCGAGCGGCTCGATCAGCGGGCTCTCTTTGAATCTTGAGGAGGACGTCCGCGAGGGAGAATTTCGAAGGCCTGCTGGTCGGTCGTTTCTGCTAACGGTCGAGGACTGGGGAATTTGCCCGTGGAAGTGTGTAGATAAGTGAGCGGGTGACAGGGCGGCGGGTGGTTAGATTACCACGCAGAGCAGAAGCACCTTCGAGCGTTTTTCTTCCACGAGAGCGCTAGCGGAGCAGCATTAGCACGACGGCGCAGACTGAGAGAATTGAGACAGATATGACGCAGAAGAGCGCGATGGCGACGGGAATGGAGCTGTCGATTTTGAAGCTTGGATCTCCGAGGAGGAGATTCGCGTCGGGGCAGTTCGCCTTCGATCACGAGTTGGGGCACATGAGCAACACCAATTCCGGGACAATTGCCCCTCTGAGCGCAGTGGCCGCGGGGGCCGACGAGGACACGGAGATGGTGTTCGAGCAGCACCAGGCGGCGATTCCTTTCGTTTGGGAGGAGAAGCCCGGGACTCCGCGAGGCGTCCGAAGCATCAAGGAGGAGACGGGGTCGGGATCCGAGGACTCGTCGGAGGAGGACGACGACTCGTCCGACGCCATGACGACCTCGAATCCTTCTTCGAGAAATTCCTCGCTGCGCGAAACCGACGAGTCCCCCCCGACCTCCGAGTTCGAGTTCACTGCCGGCGACGCTCTCGACGCCTCCGGCGACGACGACAACAACAACAGCAGCAGCAACAACAACAACAACAAGACTGCGGACGAGCTGTTTGCGAAGGGGCAGATTCTGCCTCTGAAGCCTCCGCCGCGACTGCAGTCGATCAAGCAGCTCATGGCCGCGGACGCAGCGGAAGAGGCTATGGGGTTCAATTCGCCGAAGACTCCCGGGCACTCGTTCCGCAAGGACGGACTGCGCACCCCGACTCGATCTTTTCGGAAAGATGGCCTCAAGGCTTTTATTTCCTCTCCGCGGAGGGAGAAGCAGGGCGAGCTCGTCACCACCATGCTGGGCTTCGAGGAGTGGCCCAAAGACGGGGATCGAAAGGGCGGCCCGGGGCATCGCCGGACCAACTCGCTCACCAAGTTGCCGGCATTGTTCCGTAAGAAGTACGGATTGGGGAAAGAGAATATGGACGACTACGAGGGCGAGCATTTCGACGGGGATCTGTCCGGCAGGAAGAGCGTGCTTGGCGAGAATCGCAGGCCTCTCAACTGTTTGAGCTCGAGAACGCTCGATGGGTCCTATGAGAATGATGATTTCTTCGCGTCATCGCGCAGTTTCGACGTGGACGCGAGGAGTGACTATCTGAATGCCTCAGGGCGAATTCTTGAGGAACAGCACGAGGAGGAGGAGGATCGCGATCAGGAGCCCCAGCTCCAGGCTCCCGACACTCCCGGCCAGAGGAAGCAGGCTCTGGGGAAACTGAGCAGGTTCTTCAAGAACCACAAGCCCTCGAGGCTGTCGGCCGTGGCCCCGACCCCTCTTTCGCCCGACGAGCTGAAGATCAAGCGAGTCCAACACACCTCCCCTCTCCTCAAAATGTGCCTATCGAACTGCATCGGGCAAGCTTTGGTCCGGGGAGTGAAGCACTTCCGCTCGTTGGACTCGCAACCGCGCCGCGCTCTCTCTGCTGCGAGGTAAGCAAGTGTACGATGTTACGTAAGTTCACACTCCTTCGGAGATTTTGTAAAGCCTAGCTACGTCCGATTCGATAGCCCGATTCAAGAGTCGGGCCCGTGTATGTGCGAATTGTGGAGTTTTCCTCGACGTGATGTAGCCTCAGCTGGACCGGGAACGAGAAATTTTGCTCCCAGATCCTCCGAGGGGCGCCTACGGGAGACCCTACGGTTTCATGAGAGGCGATTTCGCAAGCATGTTGTAATTTTCCTTCTTAATTTCACCCTTTGGATATTAGATACAGACAGAATCAGGCGGAAAGCTTCTGCAGTTGTATGTTGTACAGCTCGCGCTTCAGTAGGTGTACTGGCCTCGGTAGACTACTATTATAAGACGTCGGACCGATTGCTAAATAGACGAGAGAGATAGAGAGAGATGGTTCAAGGCGTCAGTCGACCGTGGGTGGGGGTGATGGGAGTGATTCGGGTGGGCTTCGTTCCTTCGTCCGCTCGCTCGCTCGCCCTCCCTCATTCCGCGCCATCGCATCATCATGGCTAAGGCCTGAATAATGGTTTGGTGCCGCAAGATCAGAGCAAATGCCCAGTTTCAATTGGAAGGCCAAGATGCAGCTCATCATGGTTTGTCATGAATAAGCTCAGTGCAGCAATCCACAAGGCTGGTAGAAGTGTGTACATTATCAGAGTAAGAAGAGCTCGGATGTTTCGCTCGCTCTCGCGCTCTCCTCGAGAGGTTCGAGCGGCGGGCGAATATGTTCAGTCCCAAGAGGGAAACTATCAAAATAAAGTTCTTAAGTTTCAGTTCTTTGTGAATAAACCAATTCGTCTTTCAAGCCTCGCGCAGTCACGTCGAAGTTTCGATGGAGAGGAGTACTCGAGAAACGCGAGGTTAATGATATCGAACATGGGATGCTGGCGCCTTCAGTCTATCATCTTCGATCTCAAGCAATCGAATTCGCGTCTCGAGCCGGGTTCTACTCGAGGCAATCGAATGCCAAATGGACTGGACTTCGCCGTGTGCAATCTGACGAAGCTCTCGGAAGAGTGGGCACAGCGTTGAGTTCGAACTCTGCGCCAGTCATGGGTCAACACCCTGGACTCGTCAGGTTTAGAGCTGTAGAGGGGTTAATACCTCGCGAGAATCTCCTCGCCGAGGACGAATATTCTGAGACATTCTCTGCCCTCGGCAGAATATCCGACTAGGTACGGCTGGCTGTCTGACGACCAGGGGCCCTGCCCTTTCGCGACCTCGACCGTTTGGCGAGCACGGTAACCAGGGAGGGTCCCGGCAGGGCTTAAACCGGAATGTCAGGTAAGGTGTAACAGTTGCACCTTACCAGCGAGTTACACTCTAACTCGCTGGAAATTACTTGGTAAGGATGAATTATCTTTGTGATCACCTGTTATTACCGGTTTTGATATAATATGTGACCTGCTGCAACAGGTTTTAAGTATTACCTTGTCTGTTCATCGCCGTGCAAAGTGCATGTACATCGTCGACAGGGGTCTCCGTTTGACAGGGGTACAAGAGTGCGCTTTTGGCTTCGTCCTTCCTCAGAGTAGTGAAAAGGAGTGATGGTGCAGAAGGGAAGGACGGAGACGACACTTGTTCAATTTTCGGCAGAATTTTTCACGAACATCGAAGTTTGTCCGGGGAGAGAATATCTCGGTGGGAAGAGAGATGGAAAGGTTTCGAGTGCTAGTTCTCAGATTACGAGCACCGGTGACGACTGCGGAGTCCGGTAGCTGGTGAGTCGTATTCCGCATCAACGATAATCCGGTCACTCATTCGCGTCCATCGTGAGGATGAAACTCGCAATATCTCCGCCTCGAGACGCGAAGCCTCAGAACCGCCGGCCCGAGTCCCGCCAGGATCTTCAGCAGTCGTGCAGAAAGCTGGGCGGAGGCACCGCGGGCTCACAGCGCTCTTCCCGACAACGTGCTCTCTATCACTCTGTCTGTCTATAGTCCCAAACGCAGCGTCCAGCTATCGAGGTGGGTACCGAGGGCCATCGGTTATGGCATCGCCGAGGTCCGAGACCAGTGGCCTGAACTGTCATGACGGAGCCGCTGGCTGGCCCAGCCACACGCACTGACACGCTCACATACGCGCCCCATCCTCCCAGCGCTCGCTCTCGATTCTCCGCCCGAGTCCGGATGCTGCCAGTGTCGAACTCCCCCGGAATTCGCGAGTCCTGTCATCTTGCGCGAACATGTGACCCGTCTCTGGGCGTCGAGGGGAGACTTTCGCCTCAACAGCTAGCAACTGGTCACTCCGCTGCGACGTCCGCGGCCTCCCGCTGCGCTGCTCCTTCCTCCTCCCCGTCTTCTTGCTGTACCTCTTCCCCGCGAGCGCTGCCCCGTCGTTCTAGCGGCCCTTCATCCGCGCGAAAGCAACGGCACCGTTTTGTCGCCTCTGGCGTCTTATCAAGTGTCGTTCCCCCGACCGGGAACCGGGAGATCGTTTTTCAAACCTTCCAAGTGGCTCGAAAATCTTTTTGTCGTCTGATCTCTCGCAGACAGCGTTCCCCCTCACTTCACGAGCGGTTCGACCTCATGATCTGAGTTAAAAGGACGAGAGACTATCAGAACAGCCACCCCGCCGAGTGTGTGGTTCACGTTTGAAGAGCGACGAGCCCTTTCATTCTGACTCGGTCTCGGCTCGTCCTTCTCTCCTTTTCAGGTCGATTGGTGTCGTCCATTTGCTTTTCGAGCCCGAACAAAACATTTTTCTGATCGTGAATATGCATTCTGAAATTTGCTTTGTGTGCGTTGAATTTCGGGGTGAATGCTCGGATCCATTACGCTCACGCATTGGGAATCCGCCCCGTAGCCACACGGCGACATTCTTAATAAAGTAAGTAAGTCTACGGAAGCGGGGCAGAGAAGAATCAGGGGCTTCTGTATGTGTTTACAAAGGCCACACGAGCCCCCGCTATTCTGTGTGAGTCGAGAATTTTCGACGTGTACGAGCACAAGGCATTTGTGCCTTGTGCCGACTTGAGCAGAGAGAAAATGAGATACTGCAGGACTGCAATTTTGGCACTGCAGGCTTCGGCCGAGCTCGAGAGGCAAATTTCTATGTCTTCGTCCTCTGAAATCGGACGTAGTTCCCAACTATTACAAACCTCCAAATCTTTCAGATACTGGGCTGAACCAGAGAGAGGGGAGACTTTCAAGCTGAAAGTTTCTTCCGGAGAGAACGTGGAGGTGGGAGTTGCGGGATGAACGGGTCCGGAGGAGTCTGTGAAAGCCGTGCCATGATCTGAAGAGCGAACGGCGGCGGGGCAAACCTCAGGAACAAACGACGGAAACCTTATAAGGGCTCACTTTATGCCTTGTAACTTTCTGAATTGTTTTCCTAATACCTGTCTAATACCTGTCCTAATACCTGTCTAATGTCACTGACTAATTTACTTCCATGAAAAACTATTCACTCGTAGTGAACCAATTCAAGTTGATTGCTCTCCCCTTGTGTACCTGAGAGAGAGAGAGAGAGAGAGAGAGAGAGAGAGAAAGAGAAAGAAAAGGAAAACAAGGCAGTGACCTATAGGGCGATTGCCATGACCTCAGAGGTTCTAGAAACTGCGCAACTTCTGGGCAGGAAGGAGGTCATGAGACCTGGACCAGACTTTCCATTTTTTACCGTCGTTGATAGACGTGGGTCCCGATCTGACCGCAGGCGCATTGATGTACTGGGGGTGGTGCAAGCAAAATCTCCTGAAAATCCCTTCAAACAAGGGAGAGGGAGCACCGTCGCTTGTACAGTCCTTCTCTGTCTCATTTCCGGTGTATTGTTTGTTTCCTGACTCACCATCTGCTGCGAGGTTCTGTGAATTGTTTCTCGATCCTGATATCGGTTTTTACCTTCACGTTTGGACCTCAATGGGGATACCTCTTCACTGCTTTCTAATCCGAGTTTAGTTTTCTCTCTCCTGGACTCGATGAGCCCAGCCCATTCTCTGCAAAAGTATGGAGCGACCATCTGACTAGTGACAGTGGCGGCGAGCTTCTGTGTGCCTAATTATACAAGTCAACGAACTATTATTTACAAGCCTACCTGTTGCCTCAAAGTATATTCTGAGATGTGATATTCACAGCTGAATACTGATTGTTTTGTAGCATACCACTCACGACGGTCTGGATCGTTAGTACATCGGACAACGACGTTGTGTAGTTTGAGCAGGATGACGCAAAATCTCGTTGTTGATGAAGATTGAGGATTTATATTGCACAGTGAACGGATTCTGCTAGCAGTAAATGTGAGGTGAAAAGGAAACCGACATGGCGGTCTTTGTAGCGAGTAGGTTTGATACATTTATGTATCGGATTCCTTGGATTCGATCGTAACCGGTACGACGCCACTCTCTACTATTGGAAGTGGACTTTGGTCACCGTCAAACGATCCATCCAACAGAGGGCGCATGGGGATGACGATTCAGATGAGGAGGTGGTCATTTTTATATAATTACGGACGAAGTGCCGGCCACCAAAGCATGTAATCGAAAAATTAGTGTACTAAAATCGAGATCAGACTCCCGAACATCCATGGAAATTAGAAAGGGCATTCATTTATTCATTCAATCGATCCTCGAAACCATCGGTGCGAGAGTACTGTACATGTACTGTGCGAGAGTTCGTTTGTGGCCTCACTTTCCAAAATCTGATCCAGTGGGAAGGCCAATGATGCTTCAAACGCATGATCGGAATAGGCTCGTGACACTTGTATTGTCTTTCGTACTTTGTTACACATTCCAGTTTCGCCACATTCGACTGGACTGGTCCCAACGCAAGTTATGCTACAGAAAGTCCAATCAATGTCTCCTAGCCAGTAAAGCCCTTGCGAGTTTGAAAAAAATACGGAACTGTTTAGCGTGCACAGTCCGCTCATTACGCTGTCAGCAAACTCGAGTACGAGTACTCAAGTAACTAAGCCCATGAAACGTACCCCTGGAACGCTGGATCTGAAATGATGGGATCAGGATTTCGTCCGGAAGTCATTTGTTCGCATGCTCCTTTACTGTGAGTCAATCAATGATTGTCAAATGTGTCAAGAGGTTCAAGCGTCTCCTGCAGCACCAGGCAGTCTGTCTCCAGTAGGACTCAGCCCACTGCTCTAGTAAAGCATGCACAAGAACAGAAACTCCAGAGCCAAACGCTACCTAACTCACTTAAGCGGAATTACTTTGAGCTAAACGACCTCAAACGAAAGCGCATCTTGATGTCCAGATGTCACGAATTCTGTTTCCACTGGCATTCTCTTTAATTGCGCGAGGCCGCCGTTGGTGCTTTGATGTCATCCGCTGTTTCTCGTACGAGCCCTGAATTATTGCTAGTTGAGCTCATGATGGGATGGTTTCCGCCTCAGCACTAGTTCCATTGACGGATCAGTCACCAGTGAGTGAATGTCCTGCCACCGTCGAATCAATGCAGTCATGCCAAGTGACATACAAGCTCCCCTAACAGTCCATCGCCAACTCTCCCACCAACACTCGAAGATTACCGAAGGCATCTGTGCGATCAGGTACCGAGGGTAGGAATATTCTCACTTGTTACAATTTCAGAGGGCTTGCTCCCTCCTGGAACGAGGGCGTTTCGGTGAACTCTATAGTAGGCATGAAGTGAAATTAGACCTCCGATAGAATCTGAGGCGGACTTTTCCTCCTGTGCCCTTGTTCGAAGGAATGTGCAAACTAGACTTCTTGACAGCAGATCACAAAAGCACTGGTTGCCATGGCCAGAATGACGTAGTTGATATGTGGGACCTCGATCACTACCATTGGAATAAACCCTCTTGATGATGATGATTCTTCTCGTTCATAAGCTGGCTTGCATCAGAGAACGAAGATAAAGTGTGTATGTGTGTGAACATGAGCATGATAATAGTTTCGGGAGTACAATCAGGATCACAGGTCATTGCCGCTAGTTTCGTTCACTGTCCACCGAAACCTCTGCTGCTGACAGTTCACAAGAAGATCATGTTTCCATGATCGGCGGCTGGAGTTTGAGAGCACTCATCTACCATCTCCACCAGCTGCGGCAGCGATCCATAGGAAACTTCATAAAGCCATGAGCTGTTTTTGCGCTGTATCCTCGTCCAACAGACAGAATTTGCTATTTGACACATGCTCTGTTTTGGCTCCCCAGAGCCCAGACACTTTCCGTAGTTTGTAAATACCATCTGCTGATCCTAATGCAAGTGGACCGAAATGCGCCTGTAAGTCACATTGGGCACGACATTCTGTTCCAAAGTCTTCACATCAAAAGGTAAAAACAGTTCTATTGGAAACGTGTTGACTTCCGATTACAGTCGTAGCAGGCTGCTCACATGCAGGTCAGATGTGAACAAGATCTGGTCACTTCGGTGGTCATCATAGTATCCAGAGCAAGCGAAGGAAGGTTGACTACGTTTGTGCGACAATTGGCCACAGAGCAACTTGCTTCTTTATGAACTTCGAACTTTAAAAAATGCAGATGTAGATTTCGTCATTGTTTTTAGAGTTGACACAGTGACACTCGAGAAAGAGATTTGTGGATTATGAAGTTGATATTGCAAACAGGAGGAGCTGTGAATTACGGTACCCTTACTCTTGCTATAATATTCAACACTTTCCTTTCATACGAAGAAGATTCCTTTGACCGTCAGAGTCCAAAACCCTACAACATGCTTTAAAGCGCGTTTGACTCATACTGATTCATCGCGAAGTCAGATGTCCTCGTCAGTAAAACAAACTTTTCTTCCAGGATGACAAGTGTTCAATCGTAGTCATGTCCACTTCTCCGCTCCGTGGGTCCGCTGCACCATACGGCTAAACTGTCTCAGATTCCACCACATCAGTCTTCGTTAGTCAATGCTCACTCTCATTCATTTAAGGATTACAATCTCACGTATCTTGTCACAGTACCCCACTGCATGGTCCTCTCGTCTGACAAGTGCATGTCAGCTTGATGAGATGATGCCCATAGTACGGCACTAAATTCAATCCTGAATTCCGGGGGTGGACAACAGACGTTATGCATCGATGCACAAACGTATCAGTTACAGGCATGGAGTGGAACAGAAAATATCTTCTAGGTTTTAATTCAAATCTCCTACTTTGCATCCACGTAAATCATCACATGTGTGTTAAGGCAATGGGCTCTTTCTATTGATCAACAAACTGTCCTCAAGTGATTTGGGAGTCTGGTCAGCTCCATTTCTCAGGCCATTTTATCCAAAAGTTACAAATTGCCACTCGGAATGTAGTTTGCGCTACGATCAGAAACGCTGAAGAGTCAAGAATCCTCATAGTTGGTTCTTCTGATAGTATTCCCAGAATTGTGCAACAGAGATACTCCACTGCCGACGTGCCTCTCGGAAGACAGGTTTGCTTCTAGACACAGTTAAATGATGCTGATCTTTGATTCCCACATCGAATGCAACACGGACGGCTCAGAAGATAGGCAACGACCGCTGCAACAGCAGTGACAGAGCGTTCGCTTTTCAGCCAACGAATGCTCTTTCCTCGTCCTTCCATGAGTAGCAAGTGCAAAGCTCTGTATGTGCTCGTGAGAACAAGCTCACATAAAGCTCACACTCCCTTCATTCAAATTCTCTAATGTGTCTAAAGTCAGTGCCAAATATAAGAGTGTCAAATCTAAGAGAGGCGAGCTATTGCACAACCCTCTGTCTTAAAATGGGTTGGTTTTTCAAGCCTCTGATTTTTGGCCCAGAACTTCACACGTACATATCTCTTATGTACGTGTGACAGACACGTACATGTATATATTCAGACAACTGGAACACATTTCGAGTCTCCAGAAAAACATGACCAAGAAGCAGGACCACCAGTTTGTGAACTCAGCTGCAGTTGCCATATTCTACGCATGTAGATTGCAGCCTTGAACAACGTCTGTTCGTCAGAAAGTTCCGGGGAGATGCACCACGTCAGTCATGAGGTCAGGTGCTGGATGTGATGTAGACGATTATGCAACTTTGATGTAAGAATGTGCTCCATGTTGAACTCGTAGACGGAACAGTTCACGTTTTCTGGCCTTACCAGAATTTGGCTTCTTCAACGTTGAAGACACCAAGAGAAGCACAACGCTTCAATCAAGAAGAATCAATCAAGTTCTCTTTGATTCCAACATTCCGATGACAATAACAAAGAGGTGCCATAAGATGTCACGGACATGGCGGATGTGTGATGTGCAGGACTTCTTCAATATTTTCCATCGAATGCATGCAACAAAGACGACGAATTTAAGATACCATATCCATAGACTATTCCAGAAAATCCTGATCAGTAAGCACTGTAACAGGGTGCCAATAATCCTTCGGAAGTGCATATCTATAGAAGCACGAGGTTAGTTTCAGGGAAGACGAGGGAAAGCGCCTGCCACTAAAAAATGTCTATGCCTTTTCAAACCACTGTCCACTTAAGGGAACTAACTGTCATCACACACACTAGTTCCAATTCTTTGAATCTTAGTACATCAGTGTTTGCACGGTAGACCATCGGAGTGAAAACGATCATGATGAAAGTGCTAAAATGAAAATCTAGCCGGTGAGTCGTGTACCATTCAAAGAATTTGGATACAACTTAGGGCCCGTTTTGATCCCACTGCACGAAGCACCACTGAAGGTTTGAATGAAGGATGTCCGTGGATGGGTAGCCCTCAGACCATGTTTCACATTCTAGGAATACCATTCATCACGACATACACGATGTCTTAAACTTTATGGAAGATCACAGACAATCACATCCCATAAACTGCTAAGATGCTTCAACATTTGAATCCTGAACCACCGGGCGAAAAGAATGTTTTGTATGCTGTGACCGAGTTGTGGTCACAATCACACAAACACCATTGTGCTTTGAAGTCCAGGAAATTGGATATAATAATGTACAGAGGACGTGGTTAACTGGTGAAGCCCTCCCTGATCGCATGAAAACAGGGCTGAAGATCATGAGAGAACGAGATGCGGAAGCTCCAGTTCTGGAGCTTCCGCATCTCATCGATCTTTCCATTCATCCGTGTAATGATACGTGTTGTCAGGGATCCATCTGCTATGAATTGTGGGAGATCAGTGCCTTCCTCGATCGAGGTTCAACATGGTTCGTTCCTTCATATTTACACAGATGCTCGTAGGAGGAACTGAATGACTTCAACCGAGTAATTGTCTAATTCAGCACATACGACGTCCCAGGTTTAGTTCAAGAAATTGTTTTAGTCAGAAAGCTTTCCGTGCTCTCAGTAGGGAAAGATTATCATTCTTATTCTCATGTACAACAGGTTCAGCTGAGGCGGTGCCTCGAGTCAAAGAGGTCCAGGAAATTCATTGCCTTTTGTCAAGAATTTGAAGTATACTTCAATCCAATGGTAAATGTCAGCAGCTGATCTTTGTCGTTTCCTTTTCAAAGGCGGTCGGTAGTGCATTAGCAGTGGCGTGAAACGACACTCTTTTCTTCAAAACTTGTTAAGTGATGAATGGAATTGGAAGGGAAAGAATTTATAACTGATTGAAGTTTCTTTTGAAAAGGCAAAGGTTCAGGTCATGTTTCAAAATCTTCAACCACGAACCTGGTTAAAAAACTCACATTTCCTATTCACGAGGTTTCAGTTCACAGTAATCATGACCGTCAATATAGTCAGCAGCAGCAGCACCATCACCACCACAGTCACAAGAAGAGGGATGTGAAGAGCCCGTCTCCCGACAAAATCAGGCAGTATGAATGAACGCTTTACCTCAACTCTGTTTTGGATCAGATCCAATCAAGTCTTCCAAGCACACTACAAGTAAGATTGCGTTTTTCTCGGCTGATGAAACTGCAGATTCCAGAATTGTAGTAAACATCGGAACAGTACAAACCTAGACAAACCCTAACATAATCAACATCTAATAGGACGAAATTTTATCCCCTGCTCATCACAGTCCTCACGTTCCAAGTCTCAAGGAAGGAAGGGAAGAAAGGAGGAAGTAAGTAAGTAAGGAGGAAGGGTGGGAGAGACAGATAGACAAACAGAGAGCCTTGTGGATTCTGAGTGGAATTCGTCGACCGAATTGTGCAGTCATCGTAAGATTCGGTGCCGGAGCTGAATTGGACTCATGGGTGTGTCGTTGGATGAGCTGGTTTTGGCCCTGCACGATGTGGAGGCTGTTAAGTTCGGCAGCTTCACGCTCAAGAGCGGCATCACGTCGCCGATCTACATCGACCTCCGAGTGATCGTGTCGTACCCGAAGCTGCTCGAGAAAGTGGCCAAGGCGATGCACGACGCCGTGGCCGACGCCCACTACGATGTGATCTGCGGCGTCCCGTACACGGCGCTGCCGATCGCCACCTGCATTTCGCTCGAGCACTGCGTGCCCATGGTCATGAGGCGGAAGGAGGTGAAAGATTACGGCACCAAGAAGGCGATCGAGGGCGCTTTCAAGCCTGGGCAGACTTGCCTGGTGATCGAGGATCTGGTCACCAGCGGTGCGTCCGTTCTCGAGACCGTCGTGCCGCTTAACGAGGTGGGCCTCGAGGTGACGGACGTGGTGGTTCTAATCGACCGTGAGCAGGGAGGATCCGCCACGTTAAAAAAGAACGGGCTCAAGCTGCACTCTGCGTTCAAATTGACCGACATCGTCGACGCTCTGGTTAGGCACGGGAAGCTGTCGCAAGAGATCGCAGATTCGGTGGTGAAGTTCTTGGCCGATAATCAAACCACCGTCGAGAAGCCTGCCCCCGCTCCTGCCCCCTCACCAGCTCCGCGCAGGATTCCATATGGCCAGAGGAGCGAGCTCACTCAAAACCCCACCGCGAAGAAGCTCTACGAGCTCATGGAGAGGAAGAAGACGAATCTGTCTTTGGCTGCCGACGTCTCTACCGCAGCCGAGCTGCTCCGTCTTGCCGATGCGGTGAGCTTTCTCTCTTCTCCCTCTCTCCCTCTAGCATTCGCAGTATGGAAGGCCCCTGCCAAAGAAAAGCTCGTTGGTTTCGTCTGCTCAGCTCGTATTAAGTTATAAACTTTGGAGCAGCTGGTGTGTGCATCGACAAGCATCTGCTTTAAAGCTAAACCTTGCTCAGAGTCTAAATTGCAGAGATTCGATGTCTGTACAGTCAAACGATACCCATCGATGTAATATATATCTGACTTGGAGGATCACTCGTGTATCAATCAATCGAGGTTCGACGATGTCCTACTGGCCTTGCTAGCTAGCTTACTTGCGAATCTCTGGCACTGTCCAGTCCTGAACCTGTTTCGTCCGAATGGCTGCATGTGACAATTTTCGGTGATGCCTGTGCAGGTTGGACCTGAAATTTGTGTTCTCAAAACTCATGTGGACATTTTCCCTGACTTCACCCCGGACTTCGGTGCGAAGCTTCGTGAGGTAGCCCACGCAACTTCCCTCTCTGACGTCTGTCATTCATAGCCAGCTTTTCTTAGTATTTTTTTTTCATTGTGTGTCTGGTTGGATCAAATCTTATCCGGAAAAAAAATCTGGTAGAGTCTTGATTTTAAATTTATCAGAACTTTTCTTCTCCGTGCTGCTCACAAAAGCCTTCTCGCGTGTAGCTTGCAGACAAGCACGATTTTTTGATCTTCGAAGATCGCAAGTTTGCAGACATCGGAAACACCGTGACAATGCAATACGAAGGGTGAGCTCCATGTTCGTTCTCTGTCTTGAATTAGTAGGGGTTTTCAAACGTTCAGTCCACGGAGAAAGTGGAAACGTCAAGGTCTCGTGCATGTGCATTCAGTGAATTGACCACTTCTCAAACTCTTGTTCTTTCAGTGGTATTTATAAAATCCTGGAGTGGGCCGATATTATCAATGCCCACGTCATTCCCGGGCCTGGTATTGTGGACGGGCTCAAGTTGAAGGTATTGCTCGTCAACCCACAATATTGCAATGGATTGATTTCGATTTGAATTCTCAACTGAGAACCGCACGGTTTCTCATGTCCATAAGGACGGTTGGGAATTGCGAGTCGATTGTAAAGTATCTGACGTCGTGGCTTCTCCGCACACTTTGGAGTCTACTGTAAGCATGCCAACCATTTCATCTTTCTGAATCACTTTCAACTTGATTATGCCAGGGCCTACCGCAGGGTAAAGGTCTTCTTCTGCTCGCAGAGATGAGTTCTGCGGGAACCTTGGCAAAGGGCGAGTACACAGCTGCGGCAGCGAAGATCGCAGCTGACCACCCTGATTTTGTCATCGGCTTCATCTCTGTCAATCCCGCGGGGTGGCCAGCCGGACCTGGCAGTCCAGCTTTGATTCACATGACTCCTGGTGTGCAAATGGGAGGAGGAGGAGATGCCCTGGGGCAGCAGTATAACAGTCCTCAATCGGTATTCCTCATCTCTAGACATGAATCTCCACCTGATGATCCTCGCTGTCAGACTTGGACATCATGTTGTTTTGTGTCATTTCTTATGGAACCTAGCGATGAAATTGAGAGATTGGATGAGTTGTGAGGTGGAAGGAGACGAAAATGCTAGGGGTTTATCCTAACGTTTGCCCATATATCGCAGCTCTGGATTGGTGTAGCAAGTGCGATGAACTGATATGCTTATGTGAGGAAATCCTAAAAAAAAACACAAACAGGATCATGCTCCCATTTGCTGTTGCTTCATGTGTTCTTGAATGTCTGAATCCATTTGAGTGTCTGGTCTATTCTCTGAGCTGCTTTGTTTGTGCAGGTTATTGAGGAGCGTGGAAGCGATATTATCATCGTTGGCAGAGGTATTATCAAAGCGAAGGACCAGGCCACAGCTGCGAAGGAGTACAGATTGGCGGGATGGTCAGCATATCAGCACAGTCTTAGCAGCTAGGTAGAGATCTTTTTTGACAAGCGGCCCAATTTTGACCTCAGTAGGGACCTGAAAGGCAGCAATCAAGAGCATTTTGGTCCCTGCGCTCGTATTCACTTATCAGCACAGCTGCAGTTTTCTGAAGCCTCCAAGTCATAGCTAAGTTCGTGACTTAACACCCATCCTCTCTCTGCTTCAAGTGAAAACTTTGAAGTGGAGAAAATTCTCCTCTGCAAGTGACAGTCTGGCCAACCGAAAGTCCACATATTTGGACAATACGGCAATGAAACCGAAGCAAATGCTTGGAAGGCTGGGTTCCGTGGAAGCAAGAACTTCTGTTCTCTCAACTTCAGTCATTTAGCCTTCATCTCTATACGCAGTCTTGCGCTAGAAGGATCGAGTCGAGATCGAAAAATGGATTCCAACCACCCCTCATCTATCCAACTCCACTTATAGATGTGGTTAGTGTGGTTCCATCTCTAGTATGATCTCGGTTCGATCAGATCGGACGGTATGTTTTCTTCGACACGTTCTGTATCATTGTGCACGTTTCAGTTCTGTAAACAGCTACCTTGTATGTAGAGTCATTGCAAGCTTGGGTAAAGTCGCGAGCAAAGAATCCGGTTTTCATAAATTTCGCTAGGGAATGGACGTTCGACGTGACAATGTGGATGTGAACACTCAGGAAGCAGGTCTGTGTTCCAGATCGCGAGTGGGGTATTTTTTCCGTGCATTGCAGTGTAAGTAATCAAGGCCTGATGTGTCACTTTAACACCGAAACACCTATCGTTGTAGGCGTTGTGAAGTAGTAAAGCCTCTGAATATCTGACTCCAAATTTGTACGAAGCCTCATTGGGCTTCAGGCTTGATGCTTTGATTCCCTTAGTAACTTTTGTGTCTAGCCCACCTTCACAAGAAGTATCACTAGTCGTCTTCAGCCATCAGGTAATGTTCAGTTATGCGGTAGCAGAGTTCGTAGAACGTGTGTGCGAGAAAATTGATAACGTGTGGGAGGTTCAGCGCATTCGGGTTAACATGTTCAGTGTGCAGTTTAGCCAGAGAAACTTGTACATGCGGTGTCCGTTCTGGAAAGTGGATCATGAGGACTCTCAATTGCCAAAGCGTGGATAAGTGGAGAACTATGCCTGAAAGTTGGCTTACAAGATATCTATGAAATGTTGAAGGTATGTCAAACATTTTGACGGACTGATCGACTGTAATCACGATAATCACGTAAGAAATATTATTCATATGTTCGCAAACAGTTACATCGGCCAAGAAATCCAATCATCCAAATTTGCGTTATCGTACAGTTCCCTAATACTTAATAGAAACGGTATCGTGTCACCCTTCTTCGTGAAAATCGTCACGACCCCGATTTCATTTCCGGGCAACAAATATTCTTCTCCGAAATTCACTACCCATTACCCAGCACATTCACGAATATCTTCCCAGAACCCACATTTCAAGTAGCTTAAATGGCACTCAAGATCAGAAGAGAAAGTCGCCCTGGCCTCAAGGGAGCTTTGTGCTCCTCGTGAAGGAGCTTTGTGATGACCGCGAAGGACTTTTACTTCTATCCACCTCTCTCCTTCCGGCCCCACAAGAGCACAGAGCCAGTTGGAAAAAGATCCCAAGATGAGCGCGAACGGCTTCTAGCTCCGTCCCATCTCTAACCTGAATGCTTCACGAGATTTACAGGTCTTTCCTTGCATGTAGATATCATAAGCATACCCTGTCATCCTAGCATCATGAGAATGGCTACCACCTTTCTCCTAACTTAAACTACCAGTATACCCACTGCTAGTGCTACTACTCGTTGATTGAGTTGGGCTCAACTTGCCTTCGGGGCAGTCTCGACAAGGGTTCCACGATCTTGCGTCACATGCTTCAGTATGGACATCTCCTATTGAGTTCAACTGCGGAAGTTCATTCAGTCACCATGTGCAACTAAAAATCCAATTGTCTCTTTCCTTCTCGTGTAAGAAATATTTATTCTAGTAATCTAATTTTATTGTGTATTCATCTTCCTTGTTATTCAGTTGGTTCTTTTTTTTCCAATTGATCTGGAAAAAATGTTTCATATAAATGATTTATTATAAAGTTTTTATATACATTTTGACCTTAGACATCTAAACACAAAATGTCTTTGGTGAACTGATCATGTAAAAACATATTGCAATACATAAAAATTATATGTTAAGATTATAACCAATATTTTTGTTCGACTCTTCTTTATTTAAAGAATGATTGATGAGAAAAACAAATTCCGAATCATCCAAAAACTTCAAAGTTAAGATATTTCATAAAAGATTGATATGTGGATTGCAATATCTTAATTAGTTTTTGAACAATTTTTTTATTATTCTATGTTAAAAACCTTTGTCAAACCGTTAATTCAGAGTTTGATGAAATCTAGTTGGTTTGACTATGCTCGGATGAACTAGCTGGCTACAAAGATTATTTTCATATGACTAAATAAGTCTTCATCATTATATACAATCAAAATGTAGAGAAAGCGTTTGCTTTTTTAGTAACAAAATTCAAGCAAAACTAATAAAATGAGAAATGTTCAACTTTTGAATTTGATTTTAAAAATAAAGATATATACATGCATGCATAAAAATAGGTGATAGTAGATACTGTTGCCTAAATTACCTAAATGGTAGTCTGCTTTTGCACCTAAATTAATGCCAAGTGACATGTAGCCGTCAACTTGCTAAGAACCGTTCAAAAGCATTTTAATTAGGGAATTGCTAGGCACACATCCCCCCTCCTGTGCATACATCCACTCGTCCACAAAGCACATTTCTGCGTCAAAACACCAAAAGCTAAACATTTCTGCGTCGAAACATGCCAACGCTTCGTCAAACAAGGGGGAAAAGCTGTTTACGGGTCCAAACATGCCGGCGCTTCGGCAAACAAGGTGGTAACGCTGCAATTTTTGTTTGGAAGATACCTAATTGGGAACACGTTCGAACGCGGACGGATCCCGTCGAGTGCTGTTGTCAGCTGGCGCTCGTCGTCCGCGAGGCGCGCGCGGACGTCGATCTGAGCGTGCTATTAAGGTCACGGGCGGTCATCCCTCTTTTGGGGGGGGATGTGTGCCTAGCAATTTCTTTTAATTAAGACTGCGACTTACACTCTCTCGCTTGTTGCATGTAGGATACTGGAACAAGTACATTCTTGAAAAGATACATATTCATTCGTTGGCTGCGTGTAGAAGCCTAAATCGAATACATTCTTCAAGAGATTGTTGTGAGAGAAGAAAAACTTAATATGAAGGATCAATAGAACTTACATTTAAGTAATTGCTCACTCTAACACAACATTTGATCTAAACCTAAAATCCACGGACAAGAATGAATTTTTCTCCTCGCACAACACACTCTTTCTCACTCACACCACTCTCTTTTGAGGGGAACACTACAAGTCTAGCAAACCTACTGTAAATCTGCCAATGATTGCATACCAATTGAATGTCGATGTTTGTCAAACTTGTGTTGTGGCAGAGGTCTTATCAAAAGATAAGCTGGATTGTCTTTCGTGTGTATGTATTCAAGTTCAATTTCCATTCTAAAATTTGTTGTATTAGAGAGTGATGCTTTGTTTTCATGCGTTTGGTTTTAGCATGAAAAATAGAATTAAGTGCAAGCTTTTACAACACCTTGATTGGAGCATGAGAGATGCAGATATGCTTGAGTTGGAGTTGCTGCGTGGTTGATGTTTTCACAAATGTTGGAGTCTTGACATGTAACTGAGACTGCAACATGTGGTATAATCTGGAGCTCGTAGAGCAATCGGCGCATCTAGACTCCTTTCTTTGTTGCTTCAAAAAATGCATTGTATTCTGACTTGGTAATACTGTCAAACACTCTAGTTTGTTGTTGTGAAGACCAAGAGATTGGACCATTAGCTAGCACAAACAGGTAAAAAACAACGGAGCAATGTGTATTGCGACAATGTAGATAGTCGGAATCTGAGTATTCACAAAGAGAAGTTGAGCCATACTTGTTGTGAAGAAGATCATAGTCTCGGTTGAAGTTAAGGTAACTAAGTACGTGATATACAAAATCGAAGTGCGCTTGTTGCGGCGAATGCATGTAATGACTTATCTATCCAACGGCATAAGACAAGTCGAGACGAGTTTTGCACAACAATATCAATTTGCCATCAATGTGGCAGTAGGCTGAACATCTAAATGCACGATTATTTGTCAGTTTCCAAGACATGGCCGACTGGAAGTCAAATTAGTTTTATCATTGAGAGATCACATTTACATTTGTCATGCAGCTCCGCAATATATTTGTGTTGATGGAGAAACAAACTACCATCAATCTCCTTAAGGAAATCAACATCGAGGTACCATGAGACATGCCATGGATACATCATCCGATAACTTTGATGTAGTTGTGTAATCTTTGCAATGCGTCCATGATAGCTTTCTAGAAGTAGTAGATCATCCAAATAAAGAAGTTGCACGGTGATGATTTTACCTTCTCAAAGAAAATAGAGGTTGGGATCAAAGTTGCTTTAAGCCCAATCAATTGATTGCATATGGAAGTAAATATACTCTAACCATTGTCTCAAAGCTGTTTGAGATCATACATTGATCTTTTGAAAAGACAAACAAGATGCGTCTAGTTGACTGTTCAAAATTGGATGATTATTTCATGTAAATCTTTTCCTGCAGCTTTTCATTTAGGAAGTCAGTTATTACATTCATATGATGCAATCCCCTTCCGAGAGCTACAAACAATAAAATAAGAGTTCAAAGAGTTGATCATTGTATCACAACAGAAAATTTTTCATTGTAGTGAATGTCATGCTTTTGTTTCAATCTTCATGCTACTAGACGCGCTTTTAATCTTAGAGAGATAACATCACGTTGAGGTTTGGACTTGAAAATTCATTTAGACGAAAGGTCTTGCTTGCTTGTGGGAACTTAACAAGTTTTTATATGAAGTGTTAAATAAGGGAGTCAAACTCCTTGTACATTGCTACTCTCCATAGAGGATTTTTTAGAGCTTTAGCCAATGACAATTGATCATCGGTAGATTGTGACGTCTCCATAATGATGAGGAAGATGTTCAACAACAATGAACATCCAACTGTTGCATCTTAGTACGAGGTCAATATAATTGATTGCAAGAATCACGTAGAGCAAAGAAAAACGACCTATGAAGATTGATCTTGTTGAGCAAAAAATAGTACTCAGAAGTGAAACTCAAAAGTAAACCTGAATCTAATAGTTTTTCTCTTGAGAATAGATTGTTATGTAGACTTGACACGTAAAGAATTGATTTGTTCTCTTTACTTAAATCAACTTGCCATGTCTTTTTTCAATAATAGGTCTACGAGTTCCACTAGCAGTAGAATTTCCAAAAAAAGAATCTGGTTGATATCCTATATTACTTGTCACATGGCTACCAGCTCCAGAGCCTAACAAGTATCCTCCGGATTCGTGTAAAGTCAAGGCTTGTAGCTCTACTAATTCACTATCTAAATCTTCTTCTATGTGATGGTTGCATTAAGTTTATGTGATGGTCTATTAAGTTTGCTTGCACATTAACTTGGCAGATGTCAGAAGCACGTAGTTGTAGTTGCACGATCTGCCCATGAAGTTTCTTTAAGTCACAATGTGTGGTAACCCACTCTTTGTTTTTGTGTGGAATTTAAAACATTTTGAAAAACAGTACCGCATCAGCAATGTAAATAGTAATCGGTACATTTAAATAGAGTGAAAATGGCTAATCGCGGGTCTCGTATGATCTCGTAGAATCGAAGAGTTGAGCGCAATGTCCGGAACAGGCGCCCCGGCCCAAACGACCGATTCTGA